TGCACATAAATTAATTTTATTGGTTTTGGATTCAATTGACTTGGGACAATATGAGAATAAAACAATTAGAACTTTAGTCTATGGACAATTAAGTTTCGAACTATCTATTGGGAGAAAAATAAATTTACAATTTATAGTTTTGAGAAAAACAAGTTTACAGTTTTAAATTCACACGAGGTTGTAGTTGGATGAAAATCTAATGTATAAGATAATTATCGTGGGGAAGTAGATCATTCACCCTTATAATTTTTTTTTTGATGATCCTGGTATCAGGATGCCTCGAGAGGATCCGACTAGCACCTAATGACTGTCCGGGTATCTGAGCCACTAAGGGTCCGCCGAAGGCATCCAGGAAGGCTGGTGATCACCCCATGTAAATTCCACCTTTATAATTAGTACTAGGTAATAATTTGCGCTTTGCGTGGAATGTGATTATTAGTTAGATTATTTTTAGTAAGGAGATATTAAACCTTTTTAATTTGAATATATGTTCGGTTTAGGTTGTTTTTTGTTTGTTTTTAATCTCCTAAAATATAATTATCCTTTTAAATCAATATTTATTTTGGTTTATTCGATTATTTTTTTTATGTTTTTTGGCGATAACCGAAAATTACTATTATTTGTTTGTTTTCATGTTATAAATTTTAGTTAGTCATGATTTCAAACTAATGGTTTCATATTATATTTTTTAAATGGATAATAATTAAAGAAAAAAAATAAAATGATTAAAACAAATCATTTCTCTACAATTTGGTCGGTAGTAAAAGAAGCATTAAGAAAAATAATATTTCAACTTGAAAAAAGTTAGACACTTCAGTTGTGGTGAATACCCAGTTATAAGGTGCTCACATCAAGGTGCACATATATATATGTATGTAACAGTATATAAAAACGGTTGATAAATATATATAAGGATACTGTTAATTAATATTAAATAATATTATTGTTCAAAATAACACATGAAAGATGAAAATTTTAAAATATAATTAATTAAAAATAAAATAGACCTATCCATTAGTGAATTTTTTCCTATAAAGAAAATAATATTTTATCCGTAAATATGGATGGGCAGAGATCGAATATCCAAGTATTTGGAGGCATTCGTGTCAATTCGATATTTAGCCACCTTAATATTCTGTGATTCGGAAATCCAAAATTTTTTAGAATTTCAAAGAATATCCGAGTTAATCCATAAATAAAAAATAAATAAAAATCTAATTAAAATATTTTACTACAAAAATAAACATTATTTATTTATTTTTTAAATTCTAATACCTAATATAACAATTTAATACATAAAAAATATTGTAAAACTTATATAAACTATAATATATATATATAACATATACATATATATATATAATTCTTTACATATATGTATATATATGCATATAATGGAAAAAATTGGATATCCGTTTATAAAAATATTGGTATATGTGATTTGCTTCCTTTTTGGATATTGTATTTTAGTATTTGATTTGCTTCGTAGAATTATGGATATCCAGATTTTTTTGGTTCAAATCAAAATGGATAACTAATTGAATCTAAATTGATGAATATTTTTAAAGCTTTATCCATATACAATAAAAATAATATATATATAATTTAATTTTCGATTCGTAATCTGTTTTGATTTGAACCGAAAAATCTCAAGTTTTAATGGATCTTGCATGTGAATTTTAAATTTTAAAAAATAAAATCTATAGTGTGAAAATATTTATGAATATAGTGTGAATGCGTCATCATATTTATTATTAATCTTTCTAAGACTGTCATGTGTCCATTATAGTAAATGCATTTTTTTAGAATGTTTCTTGTTTTATATATAACTATATAAGGAATAGGCAAAATAGAACATCATTATAAAATTACAACAAGTGAATCGATACTTTTTCGAACAACATGAAGCAATACTTAACCAATGAGGAAATACTGATGATGAATCAACGTTGGATCTATAAATGGACGTCTACTGGCTTTTGGGAGGAGGGGGGGGGGAGCAGAAACTCAAGCCTGTCCACATACAATTATGAAAAAGGGAGTTAGATAGAAAAGGGACCCAGAATACAGGAACTTTAAATAAGATAAAATTTCCCAAATTTTCTTCAAATTGATATTCTGTTTCATTTTCTTTCTATATAAAGATCGGACTGATAAATTTTATTGTTTGATAAAAGACCTGAATTATAAGTTTTTTATACATGAATCGACGTATGTAGTATTCCAAAAGCAATCACAACCATGCATGAACCGCAATCGCAGAACACAGTATCAAAAATACATTATTTAAAAGATATCTACAAAACTGAACAGGGAGAAATGAGGTCCCGGAGAAATGACGATGGTCAAATCCTTTGATAGATTTTGAAACACGAGATATATAAAACATGAATCAATGGAGAAATGCATCGTTTAGATGGTCCAACCATCGATGTCAAAAAAAAAAAGATGGTCCAACCTCAGTCAAATCCTTATAAACAAAACTGTGTTCTTTTCTCGAGCCTAGCCAATATTAAAGCATCCCTATTTCAAAACTTGCGATTGTAACACATTTTTATTGCACTAAGTTAACGATGAGAGTTGGATTATCCGTCCTAGGTCTGGAGAGCGTACAAAGGTAAGGTTTTATGGTGTTTTGACAGTTTGAGTAGTCCTTGTGCATTGTGTGCTTGTAGAGTTGTAGGGTTTCGTCCATCTATAGTTTGGCTAGATGACTGGGACATTTTCAAGTTCAGATATGATCCATATTATGAATGTCACATCTCAGAGGTTTATTGGTCAGATGTCATACTTGTGTACTTGGAAAAGGAGAAGCAAACTAGGCAATGCTGAGAACAAGCTAGCTTGAAAAATAGTTGAGTGGAATGCAAGAAACAAGTAACTGTCAAATTAATCATATCTTTCTTTCCTATGGCGAAGTTAGTTGGTTTTAAGTCTAATAAGAAGAAATGGAATTGACTGGTAATATGATATCTTTCGCTTCCTACCTTCCCTTGGTCGTTTGGAGTCAAAAACATGTTTTAGCGAGGACCGTAACGCCGTTGCCAAGGCTATCGCCGTTAGCGTCACGTGAGATCGAAGACGTCAATCATATCATATATTTCTGGTGGATCTGAACAGCATATGAATATATCTATAGGTTTCGAAATCTGAATGGAGCAATGGAATGGATGCTGTCAAACAAACTAATTATGTAGAATAATTAGAACAAGTGGTTCTTTCTTTTTGACATCATTACAATAAGTTTGGTTAGTGTATATCCAACGAGTAGAAACAATATGTGATACTGAAAAAAACATAACATGCAGTTGAACAAATGTGCTATACAAAAGGTGTGAAAAGCAAATTTTATACAAATTATTACTATTTGACCAAAAAAAGACAAATTCTTACTATATAATATACATAATGACATCGTCATTGTTGAGTTTTTATTTTATTTTATTTTATTAACTATTGACTATAAAAAAACTATTGACTATAAATGTACATATTTCATTCAAGAACCAAATAAAAAGATTATTTTAAAACTTTAATTCTCAGCTATTTAATATTTCGAAAATTGAATGTAACTAATATATATTACGTGCTAAAAATAGGTTGATACATGACTTTTGAACCGTTCAAAGTTTAAAAAGGAACTTTAAAGTTATAATTACTTCTTTTGAACAAAAAAAAATTATAATTACTTCTTGATCTTCTTCTTGTTTGGAGCCAATTATCATTATTATTCATTAAGATATCTGCCAAAAGTGGAAAATATTTCACCCATATGATGGATGACTTATAAGTACCCAATCAAAATCAATTAATATAAACATTCCAAACTTTTGAGATTACTCCCCAGTCTGGCTTACATTTCCGTATGCTAAATCAGTAATCATATCAGAGAAAATCTGAAAGATTTAGAAAATAAAATATCATTTGACTGCTAATTTTTTTTTAATCTCCTTTGAGATAGAACCAAAACCCACGTCCGTTCTGAAAAGGATCTTCAAAAGCGATCACTGGCTGTTCTACTGATTGGTAATGTCATGATTAAAATTGTATTTTTCATGCAACAACATCTCTGATCGAACGTGAATTGAGTCTTTGATTAGATCATTCGTATTGGTAACATGTTTGATTGCATCGCTCGAGTAATTTGGCTTATTGCAGGTTTGTTTATAATAGGAGTAATGGTGTTGGTGAAATTTGGAGCTTAGAATCAACAGTTGTAATTTAAAAAGCATAACTATGGGAATCTTGTCACGCAGGTAAGAAAACCTCTTTATCTAGTTTCTTTTCTTCTTCTCTCTGTAGACGCAGGAAAGCTTTGGACCTGATTAGAATTGTTGTTAGTGCAGCCCAACTTATGGTAGAAGATCAGAAGATAATGGCATGAAGCTTCTTGCAACTGCTTTGTTTGCTACAGCTTTTGGCATTCTACTTGGACTATCATTTCCATCTTTTTGGATCAGTAATGTTAGTCTTCTTTCTCTTCAATCTTTTTAGATTTTTGCTTCATATGTTGTAATTTTTTATTGTGAAGGCGAGTTTACCAAAGAACCTTCTTCGCTCCATTGCTATCTCAAATAGACATTCAGATAATGCAGCTCCTGTACATGCCATTGATATCTCAAAGGTATGCTTTATGTAATTGTTTAGAAATTTTGCACATTTGTTTGCATGTTTCAAGAACAATGTGATTCACATTTTGCTCAGATATGGGTTCCTTCAAATCCAAAAGGAGCTGAGAGATTACCACCCAGTATTATTGCATCCGAATCAGACTTGTATTTGCACAGGTTATGGGGGAACCCTGAAGAGGTTTGTTTCTCAAACACATATTCTCATTCTTGGATTTTACAGTTCTTGTATGAGATCAGTGACACTTTTTTATTTTATTCTCTCTGTTTCCTCAGGATTTGAAGAAGAAACCGAGATATCTAGTAACATTTACAGTGGGTTACAAACAGAGACAAAACATAGATGCATGTGTTAAGAAGGTTCCTTCATGCCCTTTTTATTTTCTGTTTTTATCCTAATATTACTAAACTCATTTATGTTTTGTCTTCCTCAAAAACAGTTTTCAGACAACTTTACCATTGTTCTGTTCCATTACGATGGGAAAACAAGTGAGTGGGATGATGAGTTTGATTGGTCGAAAAATGTAATACACATTAGTGTTCGGAAGCAGACAAAATGGTATCAATAACTTTGCTTATATTTATTTCCTCTAGTTGTATGAGTTTCTTGACTCTCATATATAATTTGAAATTAAGGTGGTATGCAAAGAGATTCTTGCACCCTGACATTGTAGCGCGATACGATTATATATTCATGTGGGATGAAGATCTTGGAGTCGATCACTTTGACGCTGAAGAGTGAGTTTATTTTACACTAGCTAACTTCCATTTTTTTTTATCTTGATGATTATATATATATAAGTTTGTTGTTGCAGATACATACACATGGTCAAGAAGCATGGCCTTGAGATTTCACAGCCTGGTTTGGACCCAGAGAAAGGGTGTACATGGCAGATCACTAAAAAAAGAGAGCATGTTGAAGTCCATAAGTATGTATACAACTTACTATGCTATGTTACATGATTTTTGTTACATTATATATAAAAATATTTGTTTTGAAACTCATCAGGGAAACAGATGAGAAACTCGAGTGGTGCTCTAATCCTCCTCGGCCTCCATGTGCTGCGTATGTTCAAAAAAATCTATTTATCAGACTCATTGTTCAGATGAATCACATCTTCACATATATAACTCTAACTCTCTAATAACAAAACAGATTTGTGGAGATAATGGCTCCTGTATTCTCAAGAGATGCGTGGCGCTGCGTGTGGCATATGATTCAGAATGATTTGGTTCACGGTTGGGGTCTTGACTTTGCACTTAGAAGATGTGTTGAGGTACACAAAACATTACATGTTTTTCTAAGCGTTACAGAAATGTCTTTTTTTGTGTCTTTGTTAATCGATTACCGAAGAGACTTCCATATATTTACATGTGAAAATGAAGGAGCCTGCTTATGAGAAGATAGGAATAGTAGACACTCAGTGGATCGTTCATCAATTTATACCTTCCCTTGGCAGTCAGGGAAAGGAAGAAGATGGGAAATCGCCATTGCAAGGGGTAAGAAAAGCTTGGTCTTGCCTTTTTTACATGTACTTAGAAAAAAAAAAGAACTTGACAAGCAAGTAACTAATATGTTTTTAAACTTGTGTGGTTGTTGTTCATGTAGGTGAGGGATAGATGCCATATGGAATGGAAAATGTTCGAGAGGAGAGTGGACGAGGCAGAGAAGGAATATTTTAAATCGTTGCAAGTTCAAACCCCATCCAATTCAACTACATTGCACTAGGCCCTTACCATTTTTTTTGTTGTATCTATGAGAAAAGTGCTTCTTCTCAACATTTACATAAATTTTTATAGATTAGTATAATATAGATATATCTTTAATCAGATTCAAAGAGGATTATCAAATAACTTTTGCAACAAACAAAAAAAAAAGAGTATCGAGGAGATGAAATAGAACATGTGTGTGATTTCGTAAGAGAAGAAGAGAAAGGTGTAGAGTGTTATGTGTGTGTGTGTGTGTGTATTTGTGAGCTTAAAGAGCAAGAAAACGTGAGTGAATTGCTTCTTGCAAGCATTTCTTCCACAGAATTTGTCTTGACAACAGGTTTGGTTACACCCAAAAGACTTGCCTCTTTGCAGATCCATTCTCCAGTAGTGGAAGTATCTTGTTTTGTTTTTGGCTAAGAATGTTAATGGAACAATCTTGTTTAACACTATCTTTTTTTTTTCTTCTGATTTTGTTATGTTGTCAAATACAAATATCAGATTTCAAAAATTCTTCTGTTTATATTCTAGATGGAACTACTGTATATGCATAAAATCTGATATACCTTGCATATTTATTTATTGCATTTTAAAAACTGTTAAATCAAGAAAAATACCAATTAATAGTATGTAATGGTTTATTCCATGCACCATTTAGCTTAAAGGAAACAACATGCATTTTTGTTACAATAACCAAAATAAAAACAAGAAGATGGTTGCACACCAAGAAACCAAAAAGAAAAAAGAAAGAAGACGAGCACAATATACATAAATCATTTAATACAGTCTATATATGATACTGTATGTCCTTATTTTTTCTTACTCATAGTCAATGGACTAGCTAGCTGCTCTCAGTCCACCACTTGCTATGCTCAAACTTGATGAATGCCTCTGCTTCCTTGTCAACATTCTCTTCTTTTGTAGCCTTTCTCCTAGTCATCTTCTCGCTCTTTGTCCTCCTCATATCCACACACCCCAAGACTTGTTTTGGCTCTTCAGCTGCATAGGAAACTCGGAACTCTTTCATCGAGTTGCGGTGATGATGAGATTTCTGGTTAGAGGAGTTCTCAAGAACCATGTTTTCTTCAAATTATAAACCCTTTTAGTTCTTTTACTTGTTGTGAGTATGGTATTGTTAGAGATACTTTTGAAAATTATTGGATGTATCTTTATATAGGAGATGAGATATGGCACTTGAAGTCAGATGAGGATGAATCAGATTCCTTTTTCATTATCTTTTCCAAAAGAAACAAAAGAATAATATTCTTGATGGCTTTGGGTTTTAGCCGGTTTTAATATCTTAATGCACATGTCTAAAGATTTGGAATAAATTAGTCTCGTGGATGAGAATATAATATGCTATATATATAGTGTATGAGAGAATAACTTCAAGAACAAGCAAAATTATTGATTCGATGACATTTTACAACATAGAGCACACACATTTACGATCAAAGTTTGGATCCTAGAGGTGTGGGGCAACGGTTTCCAATGTTCGAAGGTATATGCCAATGAGTATAAATCGTAGTTATTGTTGGTTATTCGTCAATAGTTAGATGCCTTCATAATGCGCAATTTTGAGTGGAGAACATAAGAAAATGTGGTTCTCTTTGTCCTATGGTGATTTCTCTTTGTTGCTTGGTCAAAATACTGATGCAGCTTTTGTGCAAACTATTAGGGACAAAAGTCTCACATCGGAAGTTGGAAGGAATTCTATCTAGTATATAAGATAGATGGATCACTCCACTTATCACCAATTGGTTTTAAGTTGGAAGTCCATCTAGCTTAACATGGTATCAGAGCCCGATCCATATAATCCAACCGATCCGGCCCAAAGTTGGCCCATCGATCCGGTCCAAAGTTGACCATCGATCCTTGCTCGAACATTTCGAGATTGATGCCAAAGAGCCATCATCTCGAGGGAGCGTATTAGGGACAAAAGTCTCACATCGGAAGTTGGAAGGAATTCTATCTAGTATATAAGATAGATGGATCACTCCACTTATCACCAATTGGTTTTAAGTTGGAAGTCCATCTAGCTTAACACAAACCACTAGATTGATATGGCCCAATCACGGGTTTGACGTTACACTAGGAAAATGAAAAAGTCCAAATTGCCTCAGAAAGAAGATGTGACGTTTGTCACAGAACCAGGTTACAACTTGCAAATGATTATACAAATTGTTTCTTTATATCTGAACTATGCTGAAGCCGTACTAATCAGGAGTTGGACTAGTTCCTCTGATAGGCGCTATCACCAATGAAATGACACCGTTTAAAACATTTAGGAAAAAAATTCAAATTGGTTTGATTTTAAACCAATATAACCAATTTTGCCACATGTGAGACATGTCAATTTCAAAAACTAAATAAACCGAAAATAATTCATGTTTTAAAGGAATTGACCATATTTCAACACTTTGTGTTTGAAACTTAATCAAAATTCACATTAATCTGTAGCATTTTAAGTTTGATCTAAATGTTTATGAATGAAAACAATGGAAGCGTGTAATTGTTCGTTTTGCCAAAAAGCAATTGCCAACAAGTAGTTTCATGTCTCTTTCAACTTTTCAAATCAAATCAATTTGCTTAGCTTGTAAACATTGGAACCTCACAAAAAAAAATAACATCAAACGCATGAAGGTCTTGGTCTTCGGGTTAAAGAAAGAAAACGGAAATTGGAAATACGTACCAGTAATCATCACTAAATCACAACTGTCATGTTTTTACTGGAAACACGTAAACAAAACTCACCCAACACCAAACCTCTTTTTTATGATCATGCTGTTTATAAGGAAGAATAATACGGCTCTTCTTTCTTCTAGATCATTACAAATTCTTATAACAATTATCATATATTATATAACACACAAAGATGTGAAAGAGACTAATTTGGCCTTGCCAACCAACCTAACTTCCCTACTACTTCATCAACAACTCGTGTCCACCTTTTGTTCAAGATTGTTATTATTATAAACATGCATCCCGCGCGAAAGTAAACACGCAAACATCATAAGAAACATACAAACAGGAGTCTTCTGGCTTCACAACCGATTTGTGATGGAGAAGAAAAAGCCGAATCAAGTAGATGAATGTCATGATTCTGTTCTTCCTGTACATAGCCAAGTAGTGAAGATAAAGAAAGAGTTTGAGAAGATTCATCACCCTGAGATGCTGAGTGTGCTTCCCCATATCACAGGTCCACGGCGTTCGCGTTCTCCCCTTGGGTTAGGGCAGAGAGACAACAGACCCATCACCGTTGGGAATTGATAACAAAGAAAGAGTGATATGGAGATAGGTTATTATCCTCTGTATTTTTAGGCTTTTACTTTTGTCTTAATGTAAATATATCTTTCGTTAATCAACAAATCTTATGCTTCTCTTCTAGTCTTTAAAGGGATAAACCACAACTAGTTCATAGAGAAGGCTTAGATAAGTTATATATGCTATCAAAAGTGGACAAGCTTAAACAAACCCATCATGGAAATTAGAGGTTTTGAAACAGACAAAGACTAGATAAACTTAATCATTATTATGAAGCATCTGGTATCTCCTGAGCCGATAGTAACTCAAACCCTTCTTCTGAGGTCTTCGATGACACCAGTGATCACTGATTTTTTCTGGATTCGGTACTTGATACTCAGCTGTGCTGTTTCTGAAACACCTTTTTCAGTATAACCTCGTCTTCCATTTCCTTTGTCGGAAAATGTCTCAATACAAAGTCTGCAAGTACACAAAGAGCTATAATAGTGCGGAAAGTGGCAATCTCGTTGGCAATTCCAAGAGGGGCAATGGAGGATAAAGATTTGAGCTATAACAGTGCGGGAAGTGGCAATCTCGTTGGCAATTCCAAGAGAGGCTGTGGAGGATAAAGATTTGAGCGTGTCTAAGTCATGCTTCTCTACTTCCACCATTTCACTGGAAAGCAGTATTCTTATAGCTGCCAATAGTCTTCCCTCTACTATCTCTTGCCCTCCTAAGGTTACCTATCAGAATAAAATGACAAGAATTAGAGAGATAAAGACTGTTTTAGCTATCGAGTTAGAGAGATGGAACCTTGAGGTCTGGCATTTTCCCGGCTAGATTTAATTGGGAAAGCAACTGATGTTGCCATGGAGCTGGTGAAGAGAATTTTGGAGAAGCAATACCAACCACCATGCTTGCAGTGTCCAAAAGCCCTTCGTCGTATTTAAGCTCAACCGTGTCGTATGGGTTTGACTCAACCACAAAGCCATAGTCTAAAAGGAAAAAGTCGTTGCTAAGGCAACCATAATTGAGTAGCAACGGATCGTTTTATTTTACTTCAGTCTCTGCAACAACCTGATTCACACAAAAATAAAATAAAAACAAACATAACCCCAACTATAATAATAAGGAGAGAACTAAGACACAGAACCTTAACAAAAGGGATCAAAGTCGCTAGAGGCTGCCTCCGGGTCAATCACCTTCTTTTTGCAGACGATACAATGTTCTTTATCAATGCTAATGTAGCAAATTGTGAGGCACTCAAGAATATTCTTAACAGCTACAAAGAAGCATCGGGCAGTGTATTAATACCGAGAAATCTGCCATAACCTTCTCCCGTCGAACGCCAGGGACACTTAAAACAAAAATCAAGGATTCCCTACAAATCCAAAAAGAGGGAGGAGTTGGAAAATACCTGGGACTTCCAGAGAGTTTCGGCAGGCGAAAAAAGGACCTGTTCTTCTCAATCATTGACCGGATTAAGCAAAAAGCCCGTGGTTGGTCACCAAAATTTTTGTCTCCAGAGTGTCTTCTCTCCGATTCCTTCATACTCCATGACGTGCTTCAAGCTGTCGGTGTCTCTTGGCCAGCGAATCCAATCCGTGATCACACGCTTCTGGTGGGATACCAATGAAAGTAAGAAGAAGATGGCATGGGTGGCTTGGGATAAAATAGCCACCCCCAAAGCTTTGGGAGGACTTGGAATGAAAGATTTCCAAAAATTTAATGATGCCCTTTTGGCCAAGATTGGATGGAGATTTCTGAATAAACCAATGTGTTTGCTTGGTAAAATCCTGACGGGCAAATATTTTCCAGATGGTGATATTCTTTCGGCGACGGAAACCACTACGATGTCTCATGGCTTTAGAAGCGTTCTTTTAGGACGTGATATGTTATTGGAAAATGTTGGTTGGGCAGTGGGAGATGGAATTTCCATTAAAATCTGGCAGGATCCATGGCTAAGTTTGTCTAGGCCGGAAAGACCGATGGGACCACCAACAGAAGAAAGTGCGAACCTTCTAGTCTCTGATTTGCTGAAGGAGGATGGAAAGCAATGGGACCGCAGGAAAATTCTCCAGCTACTCCCGGAATACGAAGAAAGGATCCTATCCATCAAACCAAGCCTAACATGGACTCCAGATAAGCTCCTATGGTTGGGAACAAGATCGGGTCAATACTCCGTCAAGTCAGGATACTATACTGCTGTGAATGAGGAAAGAGATGGTGTAGCTCCGGCGATAATTTTCAACTAGAATAAGGATGTATGGAATCTTCACTGTGCTCCGAAGGTTAAACTTTTCTCATGGAAAGCTCTAAATGGTGCCCGTCCAGTGGGAGAACGTCTTTTGGAGAGGCACATCAACATTGACCCTAAGTGTAAGCGTTGCGGATGCGATGAATCTATCACTCATCTTCTCTTCCATTGTTCGTTTTCTCAAAAGGTATGGCAGCTGGCCCCCTTTACTACTGATATGGATTATAGCGGAGTGATAGATTTAAAGGCGGCCTGGCCCTCGATCTACAACCAAAAATGTCTCCCCCAGTTGGAATTGTGTCTAGTACTCTGTTTCTTTGGATTTTATGGGGTCTGTGGAAAGCTAGGAATAGGTTTGTCTTTGAAGGCTTTTCTGCCTCACCGGAAGACACACTCACCACTGCTATTGTTCTGGCTAGGGAATGGAGTGTAAATGGTAAAACAGAGGTTTCTGGGTGCACGAAAAAACAGATGATAGAGAACCCATTGCCGCGAGGAACGTTGACTGTCAGATCTGATGCGGCATGGTCCTCAACGGGAAGGACTGCAGGTCTTAGCTGGATTATTCTGGACCCACCTCAGGAAAAATCCTTCCAAAAAAAATGGAGTTTATTGGTTCACCTCTTATGGCGGAGGGACTTGCCCTTAGAGAAGCGCTACTTACCTGCCAGAGACTGGAGTTGAAGAAGCTAAGATTTGAGTAGGATTCGGCGCTACTAATCAAGAGTATCATTGGAGAGGAGGAGATTGCAGAGTTGCATAGTGTTGTTTCTGATATTAAGTATTTGTCTTTTGATTTCGAAGTTGTTTCTTTTGTATGGATTCCTCGAGAGAGGAATAGGATTGCCGATGTCTTGGCAAAAGGCACATTAAATATGCCCGACCCTTTGTCTGTTGGAGTGGAGTTTATGGCTCCCAACTAATTTTATTAATGCAAGTATGTATGTTCCAAAAAGAGTCAGAATCGTCTTGTTCTTGAATGATCCGGACATTCGGAGTGAAGCTGTGGTTGCACATATCTATCAAAGGAAGCATCATGGGGACAAGATTAGGAGACCCACCATGAAGCTTTCCATTACCATGATGCAAGCAAAACGCTCGAGTCGAAACAGCCGACATGGCCCAACAAAGATCGGATATTTTCACATCTTCACCGCTAAAAGGGTGATCACTACTAGCCTTAACACCTTCGAGAGTCTCTCTAACCTCTTTCGCGAAATCAAGAAGAAAAAGGCATCTTTTTTGAAACTGCTCCAAAGAACACAACAACAAATCTCCATCAACAAACTGAAATGGTACAGAATGAGACTCCCTCATCTAAATTCTCTTCACCTGGTGTTGAAATGATAAGGGCCAGAGTTCTATTTATCTAACCTGGTGTTGAAATGATATATACGGCAAGTTCCTGACGTCTTCTGGGTGAAAGAATATGGGAACGGCGTACGTGTTTCAGGTAGATTGATAATGTAAGGCCACCAGAACGAATCATTATTGGCTCTTTCTTGCAATAGTCTCAGTCCCAGTTTCATTGCCCACAACTCTTCTGTCAAATTAATCATCCAAAAACATGATTCTATGAGCTAAGGTATATCTGAGATAATCCACAGTACCACGGTATCTATGAGTTGCATAATTCTTAATGAACTCCATAAGACTTAAACTAACTAAGATTTTAATTTTTTCTGATTCAGTTAACAATTTCAGATACATGATTTATCTACATGTCTTAAAATCCTTATCAGTTTATTTATAAAAACTTATTACTATGCTATCTCTTTCTTTGTTCTTAGAAGAGGTTTCTTCTATTTTTATGTTTTGTTTTCTTTTGTTATTTTAGCTTGACGTTAGAATTTTCTGCTAGATAAATTAATTTTGGTTTTATAAAATCTGAAGGTAAAATGCAAGATTTGGATTGATAAATTTTACACATAAAAGTAAATCCAAATTCATTCAAAATATTTCAAGAAAGGGAATTGTAAAAATCTATGAAACATGAATAGCACAAGATTTGAAATGTTGTATTCAAATCTCTAGTTGGGTATAAGGGTATCTCCAATAGTGCAATTCTATTATAGAGTTAGATTTGGTTCAATGGTGTACTCTATAATAGAGTAGAATATAGAGAGATATTTTTTTTTACTCCAAATATAGAGTGAAAAAACAATATTCCTCTATATCCCACTCTATTATAGTGTAACTCTATTATATAGTAAACCATTGGAGAATCCAACTCTATTATAAAGCTATATTATTTTAGAGTAAAATATAGAGAAAATTATAGAGTACCATTGGAGATTGTCTAAATAAATTTAAAATTCTCTCTTTGAAAAGATTATAAAACCTATAGATGGCAAAAAAAAAAAAAATCAAACCTATAGAATTAATTAAAATCCAGTGTCCAATAAACTTCACATAATTCTAGTAAGCTAAGTGATAAGCTCGGTTTGGGCTCCGTAATGGGGCTCAGAAGCGTTAAAAGAAATCAATCTCCAGTCCTTACACTAGTTTAATTACTATTTATCCAAAGGATTTTTAACATAAAAACTCCTCAACTAAGTTTGTTTTGGATAAAAACCCATAAACTAAGTATTTAATGAAAAAACCTCCAAACTACCTTTATTTAGTGAATTAAACCCTCGTCAGTCATAATTACCAGTGCTACCGGTAAATTTTTAGTTTAGGGGTTTTATCATTAAACATAAAAAATAAAAATAAAATAAAAAATCAAAATATAATAACATGATCTAAAAATTCGTAATTTTAATTTTTATAACTAGCATTTTAAATTTTTTTTGTAAATATAAGTGTGATTTCTTATCCTTGTAAAATGGATTTTTAACTCTAAAATACCTTAACTACGTTTTTGGGGTAAAACCCCCCAAACTAACAAGTAAACCACCATATTAAAGATAGTTGAAGGGTTTTTATCGTTAAAAATCTAAAAAAAATTATAACATTATCTAAAAATTAGTAACTTAAATTTTTAAAATTAGCATTTTTCAAACTTTCTGTAAATATATTAGTTTGATTTGTTTTAACATCAACATTATATATATATATAGATTAAAATTTTAAAACACCAAAATATAATAAAAATCATCTAAAGATTTATTATTACATTTTTTATTAAATAAAATATAATTTTATTATGTTTCTTGTTTTTATATTTATAACTTTTGATAATTTTTATTACAGGTAAATCTTTAGATAATTTTTGTTATATTTTCTTGGTTTTAAATTTTAAATTTATACATATATAATTTTGATTTTAAAAGGATAACAAATCACACTACAAGAAAACACGTCCTTTACTAGGACGGGTTTTCCTCGTTATTTCCTAGTAAAGGGCCCTTTACTAGGAAATAGCGAGGAAACGTGTTTCGTCGAAAGACGTTCATCGTAAAGGCTATTTTCCTCGTAAAGGCCTAGCTAATTTACGAGGAAAGATTTCCTCGTAAAGCCGTGGAAAACATTTCCTCGTAAG